AGCCAGTAGTAGTTGAAGGACTCCCCACAAAGGATTAAAGAATCCTCCTTCCCTGCAGCTGGAATTCTAGCTGAGACTAGATTAAGAGTTTGTATCTTTGAGAAGGTACATCATAATTTTTAAAAGGTAATGGAGAAATAAAAATCCAGAAGGCTTTTGGTTATGACCATTTAAACCAGTAGTAGCTCATTATTATTTCACTCTAGTGTAGGAAGTTCAAACCTTTTGAAAAGCACATCCTTCCCAGAGGCAAATAGTGCAACAAAACCACCTTTTAAAGGGAGAAGCTCCCAAATAGAGAAAAACCTGAAGAGACAGACCCCACAGCACTGGCTCTGTGGTGCCTGGAAGCTGCAGAACAAGAGTGCAGTGCAGATCTGAAGGGGTTTATTTGGAGATTTCAGTCTCACAAGTAATTGGGAGCTTCCTAAGTCCAATACATGTAGTCTAAAATGAATGAGCAATGAAAAGTTTGTGGTCCAGAGGCCATTTGTGGTGCAGCCTTCCATCACCTGCTGTGGCTTTTCAACAGCTAACGGCAAGCTTTGAGCATCAGAGCCTCTCTCTTCTGGTTCTGTGCATGAAATATTACGACTTTGACTCAATAACTCTATTTGTGCCTGTCTGTGCATTGGCTGCCCTTGGCTTCCTCAACTGTGTGAGCTTCCAAAAGAGAGGTAAACTCCAGGGATGGGAATAGGAAGGGTACAGTGAAGTGTCAGGTTGATGAAGCACCCAGGACAGGGACTTCTCCAGGCCGTGTTCAGAGGGGGTTGACTCCTGTGGTGGTGAATGTTTGATGGGGATTAACCCCTCAGGACAGTGACTTGGCCTGGTCACCACAACAGGAGGTGACCACGTAGAGACAGGACTCCTTGTGACAGTAACCAGCCATATGTAGTTGTAATGATAAGAAAGGGACCGTCTTATTGTAGTCGCTTTGCCACAAATACTACCACAATTCATTACTTTCCATCAGTGCCTCATCCTATGGAGGAATCACCACTGCCCATCTACATTGAGGAGGGGACAGAAGTCCCGACTGGTGAGTGCAGTTGGGATGGGATATGTTTAAGGGGGGGTATAATGGTACTTGGGGTTTATATTCCTCACGTTTATCTATACCCATTTGTCATTGAAAATTTTAAGGCCTGTTGCAAATGTTCTGGGATTTTTATTTTTATATTCTTAATGCAAGTGTATTTTAGAGCTCTTGAGGATGGTTAAATACTGTTAGTGTTGGTTTTCAGCTAATCATAAATCAAAGTACATAAATCATAAATCAAAGTACATAATATATGTAGTGACATTGAAAGCTTCCGTTCAGGATCTCTTAACACAAGGCTGGGGAAGACCATGAGTATCACAAGAGGTAGTTCCCACTTCAGCCTTTCACCTTGGTGTTGAGATGCTCGGAATAATCAGCCAGCTGGGTCAGCAGTTTTTGTCTTGCTGACACTCTCCTGCCCAGCACCCAGCAGACTCAAATTGCACACACTACTGGACAGCCAGAAGAGAGTTAGAGAGCCTTGCCATTACCTGTGTTACACATCAGAGTGCTGCACACCCCCATTTCTGAGCTCTGGTGTGGATGGGTTGTCACTACATGGATATATAGTTTTGGGTGGTTTGTTTTGTTTTAAATAGAGCAGCAATTTTTCAGATAACCCATAAAGAAAGAGACTAAAATATCAGTAATCTGGACTGTGATGATCTCTTTGGACTTTAGAAAGCTCCGATTGAAGCATTTCCTGGATCCCCTTCCTTATCCAACCTGTTCTTGGTTGCATACAGTAAGTGTGCCTTGGCTATCACCTTGAGAGCCTGCCTTGTTGAGCAGATGTGTCTCTTCAAATAACTTTTTCTTATTATATATCCTGAAATTTTCCATTCCAAAATTCAAGCAATTGCTTCTTGTCCTACTGTCTTTTGAGCTAGATGAATTACCTTCCTCTACACGCAGCACCTTGAAGGTATTTATAGCTGGATCTGAGCCCAGGAGTCTTCTCGTTTATAGACCATATTAATTTAGCTCTCTTACTCTCTCCTTAGATCATTTTTATTGTCCTTATTTGTATTTCCTTTAATTTTTCTATCTCCTTTCTAATCTGTGAAGACTTGAACAGCTCGTACTATATGCACTGTGATTGTTTTGCCATAGCATTATGCTTTAGATTTCCATATCATCCCTTCATATGTATGCAATCAGAAATAGCTTAGCCTTAGACCCTTCTCCTGCATCACTCAGTAACACCACCTGGAGAAGGTCTGTTCCATGGCTAATCTTACCTGCCATCACCTTTAGGTCTTTCTTGGATTCACAGCTGTGCAGTTAGCTGTTACTCAGGCAATGGCACTGCTCTCCTGAGATGCAGGGCTTTATACTTCCTAGCACTAAATCCCCACACTTACTTTCCTCAGGAATGATTTAAGATAGTATTCCTCTGTATCTGTGTTAATACCCTGGGATTTTATCACTTACATAGAAGTTGTTACTGGTTTACCATGTATAGAGCAAAGTACTTAAAATTTTATGTTACAGCTGCCTTCTGCACATTACTCCAGTCTCCTTTCCCAGCTCCATCATTCTTGTTTGCATACCTTCCAAACTTTTCCTTCCTCTAGTTATCAAAGTTCATAATGTATAAACCAGCAGGTTTAGCCTTCTCCTTGTCTTTGTTTTGTACCTTTTCTCATACAATTAGTGCGTTGTTGCTGTGTCTCTTCTGTGCATGGCATGATGTGGTCTTTCCCACAGCAGATCATCTTTTCCTCACTTCTCCTGGGGTTGTAGTGAGCTGAACATCTGCTCAACGTGCAGCCCCTCTTATAGAACCATTCAGGCTGGGATCTGCCACAGCCCTTGTTATTTCATCTTGTCTTTCCCATTGCACTGAGGAAACCCAGCCTGCTGGGATGGTGGCACCTGCGCCAAGAAACATACTGTAAGGCTGATGAATCACAAAACTGACCAAGCAAACAAACAAAACCAAACCCTATGAGTGAAAAGCTTTTTAGCGGGTGTTTGCTCAGTGTTGTCATGAAGCAGGTTTGTTGGAAATGCAGCAGGAGCTGTGAAATGGCCAGATTGGGTTGGGGAGGGCACCGTGTTTGCGAGCTGTGGTTGAGGGGAATGAGTGGAAAAGGTAAATGATGCAGAGATGGGAGCAAACCACAAGCTTCAAGTTGGGTATTTCAGGGCTTCTTTAATAATGTAAGTCCTCAAGTCATCTGCAAAATGCTGACTTGGGTCTGGGTCTCAGTTCTGGGCTTCCTTTCCCTTGAGCTTACCAGCGTGGTCCAGATCCAAGGTGCCTGTTTGTACCTGGAGAGACTAGAATAGTTGAGATGGAAGCAGAGTAACACACAGTGCAGTGGTTAAAACAACCCAGCACAACCATCATGTGTTTTTAAAGGGTTGTTTAGAGACCATAGATTATTTCCTCAAACACATTTAGGATAGTATATGGAGCACGTGCTGTTCTGGCCCAAGCCTGCCTGGTGGTGGTAGGTCACTTTGTAGCTTCTGTATTTATTAAAAAAACCAGAGAAATCAGGAGGTTATTTCAGAGTCTAAATTTAACACTAATTATTTCAAGCAGTCGAAAAAGGAACATGAATCTCACTTGTTTATTACAGCTGCTTCGTGAAAACAGCAGCTACAAATAATACCCTGTAATGAAAATCTACTTAACACTGTCATGAGTTACCCAACAAGAGAACAAGTGTGGGGGGTCTGGACAAAGGCAGCATTGCCTCCTCTGGAGGGAGGGTCTGTGTTGAAGAGAAGGTGGTTATTACTTAAATGCTGGTTTTATCTCCTTGGGTGAAATGAATATCATGACACTTCTGCATAGATGAGTACAACTTTTGATTGGAAAAAGGTCTGATCTCTACTTATTTTTTATGTGCTTCTGCACTCTCTCAAGTACATTCCTAGAGGAGGGTGGGTGAGATGCAACAAACATGTTCATAAATGAAAGATGTTTCTGAGGAGATTTGTGAGTGCTAGCAAAGAATCCTCAGAATAAGCATAGAAGAGGGCAGGTTAGACCCTGGCAGGCTTGGTTCAGGCAGTTTCAACAGTCTTCCACACAATTAAACACTTCAGGAGATTCAAGGTGAGGAAACAGGCAGAGCAGGTTGTTGTTCACCATTGCTGTTCATGTTAGGGTCATGGCCATATTCCCCCATCACCATTCGGGACCTGTTGTGTTAAACACTGAAGAAATCACTGAGGCAACAGAGTCCAAATTTACCTTTTATAAAGCAAAAACCTGGGAACAAAATATTTGTATTGGCAATCATTCTGTTTGGCCCATAGAGAACACCAGGGGAGTACTTGCCTCCTCGGGGATCAGGGAGCAGTAGAGCCCTGGGCTGAAATGTTTGCTTTTGTTTTTCCTTCCAAGTTGCATTTTGAGATGTTGGTATTGATAAAAAAAAGAAAACATAGAGATTCAGGATCTAATTCTCAACTGGTTTATTCCAATGTAACTGTGTTGATTCCAGTAGCATTGCTATTGCTTTAGTGTTGTGTAAGCAGTGAGCCAGATCCCCTTGTTGAGGACTCAGTCATACTGACCTTGAATCCCGTGGCACTTCTGCTGGAGCTTTGAGTCCCTACGTGAGCAAAATCCCAGCAATCCACTTCATAGAACCCCAGACTGGTTTGGGTTGAAGGGACCTTAAAGCACATCCAGCTCCAACCTCCCGCCACGGGCAGGGACACCTTCCACTAGAGCAGGTTGCTCCAAGCCCCTGTGTCCAACCTGGCCTTGAACACTGCCAGGGATGGGGCAGCCACAGCTTCTCTGGGCACCCTGTGCCAGCGCCTCAGCACCCTCATAGGGAAGAACTTCCCCCTCAGAGCTCATCTCAATCTCCCTCTATCCGCAATTCTCTCTTACTGATCCACTTTTGCTAATGAAAAGCACTGGCTTCATTGGACTTGTGTCAAATGTATACAAATGTTAGGGAGACCTTGCCTGGAAGGGATTTTTTCCCCCCATGAAATCATCTTTGTATGATGGAAAGCTCCATTAGCGCTCTGAAACCATATTCTCTTGGTGGTACTCACAAGTCATGGTGTAGCCTTGGCTCCTCCGAGTAATCTTGATGACGGGAGAAGAATTTTCTTGTAATTGCACAGTTTCTTCCCTCCTTTTAAGGATCTCTCATTCTATATTAATGATAAAAACTGGATTTCCAGTCTGCCCATGCTCTTGGGCAGACTCAGTGAAAGACAGATTCTATATTATATCTTTGTCCTCTTCAATAAGAGAGTTAGAGCTGGTTTTTAAGGAGGATGACCATAAGAAGTGCACCTTTCCCAGGCAAAAAGTATTCTTTCTTTCTGCCTGGGAAAGTATTCGGCCCCTTACGGGGTGCTGGCTGTGTGTGTCTCTAGGAGGTTGTCTTCCCTTGGAAGTGAAGAGAACCATTTCTGTCGTATGCACTTCAGGGTTTGCTCTTTCATGGGGTGTTGGCACATGAAAAGCTTGATTTTTGCCAGACACTGAGTGCCTTCTGCAAGGTATTGAGTGCCCTCCTATCCTTTGCAGCCAAAAAGGACTTGATTGCTCTTGGCATCAGGCAGATCTGGACCCAGAAGACCACAGGTAGTATTTACCAATTATTTATGTGCTTTTGCATGCCAGAGGTTGTCTGAATGGATTTCCCCAGCATACAGGAGATTTCAGGCGTTAATGACACTTGCCTGCCACTAAACCCATCTTTTTTATTAAATAATAATAATAAAATAATA